GGAAAGGAAAGGAAAGGAAAGGAAAGGAAAGGAAAGGAAAGGAAAGGCCATGACTGCGCCTAGGTATGGTGGAGGAGAAAGCTTATTATAGACGTGAGGGAGAGCATAGCCAGAGGAGAGGTATCTGGAGAGTCGAGAGCAGTCATAACCCTGAGCCATATGAGGAGAAGGGGAGGGGAAGGGAGACAGGAGAGAGAAAGACCAGGAGGAATAGCTAGGAGGCCAAAGGTACAAAAAGGGGCAGGTAACCAAAATGTCTGGATTGTGTAGGAAAGAGCCCTTGTTTGGAAGGTAGCTGAGCTCCTGGGCTAGAGAGAGTTGAGGGTGGGGTATGCTAGCCTTACCCTGTAACAGGTAGGGATTGAAGGGTGCTGGGAGAAACTAAGGTCAGACCTGCTTTGATTTGTAAAGTAGGAACTTCAGCCATTTGTCAGGGCTTGAAACTTAACAAAAAGCTTTCAACTACTGATCCTCCGTTAAAATTCACATCTTGGTGGCTGTTATCCCAGCCTTCTAACACAATGGTCCTGTTTCTGATTTTCCCCAAACTCCTTGCCATATAAAAAGATAAACTTTGAGCTGCAAGGCCTTTTAAAATGTTTTGCTGAATTTCCATAGCAAGTTTTTTTTTTTCCATCTTCAGTTTAGATTTGAGCAATCATTATGGGAGATAAATTAAAATTTTATCAAACAACTGTTTCCATTTTCTAAATGCAGAATATAAGCTCATGAATACTTTTATCATTGGAGGAAAGGGGAAAACTGGTGTTTCAAAACAATTTTGATGAAACCCTGACTGTCTAATTAGCTCTGAAAGTTCACATGAACTGTAATGCAGTTTGTTTCCCTTTTGAGAGAAGTAGTAATGCCTGCCTTTTTCAGCTTTGCTCTGGTACAAAGGTTAAAAATTTCTTCCCTTTCCAGTTACTACTTTTTACTCCTTTGTTTCTGCTCTTTCGATGTTTACTGTTCTTGAGGATAATGGGTAGCTGGTTAGATCCAGGTGTCTATAGACAGAGCAGAGAGAGGCTGACAGCTGAGCTGACCAATATTGTACCTGGCTGCCTGTGATGTGATGGTGAGACTGAATTCATTCATTTGGGGTGGGTCTGCTTTGTATTTCTCCTTGTTGCTAACGAAAATATTTATTAGGAAAAAAAAAAACATCTTTTCTGTGAGTATTTCTTTTTAGTTTAAAATTGCAATTGCATTCACCATGTTGAGCCATGAGAGAAACCACATAGCTTGTTCTGAAATTTCAAATGTATACATGTTGGCATTAATTTTCCCACAGCTTAAATAAAAGAAAATTTATACAGATGTTCTTCTGATTTCAGGAATTATATGTCTTTTCTAAGGCTATGCTTATTTATGAATAATATTACTTTTAGAAATAATCTTTAACCTTGACTTAGGCTCTCTAATTTTAGGAGCCGCACCATGAGCTGTTCCCAGAAGAATGGGAGAATAAAGTAGATGACTTTCAGAGGATGCTTATTATTCGTTGCTTGAGGCCAGACAAGGTAAGTGTGGGCTTTCCGAGCAGCTCCCATCAGCTGTTCTCCACACAGCCCAGTCGACGTTGCATTTCTTCAGAGACTCAGGGTGGATGGAGGAGTCTGCGGGAGTAATCCAGCTCCCTCCGAACGAATTCCCCAAACTGAATCTGTGTTTACTGAAGCATCTGGGTTAATAAATAGCTAACAGAGTGTGTGTGTGGTTTTTTTTTTTTTGTGTGTGGTTGGTTTCCCTCAGAAACCGCCTTGCCATTATTGCACCAGTGGCCGTATCTTGCCTGTTGGTCCTATTGCAACATGGCAGCTGCACTGCTGGGTAAGGCTATTGGTGGTCTCGTCAGCCTTCAAAGCACCTTGCAGAACTGTGAGAGCCAGCTAGCAGGAGTAGTTTCCTGGTTAGTGTAAGAGTGCCTTAGGCAACTGAAGTTTGTGGTATCTATGGACAACCAATGGTAAATTGGCTGTCATAAAACCTGTACTGTTTTGGTGGCTCTGGGGCCTCACTAACCAGTAACTTGTAAGGAGGTAACCTGTGCCTGTCACTGAGATTTTTAATAACCCGTATCTTCAGGAAGGCCCATTGGTCACCCATGCAGATGTACTTCTATTCAAACTCCTCCCCCCCACCTCACCCCCTGCTTTTTTCCCTTTTAAGTGTGTGTGGGGGAGAAAGCTGTTGTTGTTTTGCTTTGTTTTAAACGGTGTCTCTCTGTAGCCCTGGCTGACCTGGAACTCTGTAGACCAAGCAGGCCTTTAACTAAGAGATCTGCCTGCCTCTGCCTCTGCCTCTGCCTTTCTGCCTTTCTGCCTTTCTGCCTTTCTGCCTTTCTGCCCCTCTGCCCCTCTGCACCTCTGCCCCTCTGCCCCTCCTGCCCCTCTGCCTCTCTGCCCCTCTGCCCCTCTGTCCCTCCTCTGCCCCTCCTCTGCCCCTCTGCCTCTCTGCCCCTCTGCCCCTCTGTCCCTCTGTCCCTCCTCTGTCCCTCCTCTGCCCCTCTGCCCCTCTGCCCCTCTGCCTCAACCTGCCTTGAAAGTGCTGGGATTAAAGACTTGTGACCACACCAACCAGCCTGCATTGTGTTTTTAATTGGCTTATAAACTAGAGGTGGTTTTATAAGCCACCTTCATATATATCCTTAGTTTTGATTATTTCTCCTCTCTTTTTTAAATTTTTATTTTATTTTATTAATTATAGTTTATTCTCTTTGTATTCCAGCTGTAACTCCCTCCTCCATCCCCTCCCAATCTCACCCACCCTCTCTCTTCTTCTCCTATGCCCCTCCTCAAGTCCAATGATAGGGAGGTCCTCCTCCCGTTCCATCTGACCCTAGTCTATCAGGTCTCATCAGCACTGGCTTCTTTGTCTTCCTCTGTGGCCTGGTAAGGCTGCTCCCCCCTCAGGGGGAGGTGATCAAAGAGCAGGCCAATCAGTTTATGTCAGAGACAGCCCCTGTTCCCATTACTAGGGAACCCTCTTGGATACTGAACTGCCATGGGCTACTATTGTGTAGGGATTCTAAGTTATCTCCATGCATGGTCCTTATTTGGAGTATCAGTCACAGGAAACCCTTGGGCCCAGATTTCTTGGTTCTGTTGCTCTCCTTGTGGAGCTCCTGTACCCTCCGGATCTTACTATCTCTCCCTTCTTTCATAAGATTCCCTGCACTCTGCCCAAAGGTTGGCTATGAGTCTCAACATCTGCTTTGATACCCTGCTGGTAGAGTCTTTCAGAGACCCTCTGTGATAGGCTCCTGTCCTGTTCCCTGTTTTCTCCTTCTTCCGAAGTCCATCTCCTTTGCCTTTCTGAATGAAGATTGAGCATCTTACCCAGGGTCCTCCTTCTTGATTAGCTTCCTTAGATGTACAGATTTTAGTATGATTATCCTATATTATATGTCTAATATCCACTTATACGTGAGTATATACAATATGTGTCTTTCTGCTTCTGGGATACCTCACTCAGGATGATCTTTTCTAGACCCCACAATTTGCCTGCAAATTTCATGATGACTTTGTTTTTAATTGCTGAATAGTATTCCATTGTGTAAATGTACCACAATTTCTGTATTTATTTCTCAACTGAGGGGCATCTGGGTTGTTTCCAGCTTCTGGCTACTACAAATAAAGCTGCTACAAAAATGGTTGAGCAAATGTCCTTGTTGTATAGTTGAGCATCTTTTGGATATATGCCCAGAAGGTAGCACTATTCCTAATTGTCTGAGAAAGTGCCAGATGGATTTCCAAAGTGTTTGTACAAGTTTACATTCCCACCAGCAATGGAGGAGGGTTCCCCTTTCTCCACAACCTCTCCAGCATGTGTTGTCACTTGAGTGTTTGATCTTAGCCATTCTCATGGGTGTAAGGTGAAATCTCAGGGTTGTTTTGATTTGCATTTCCCTGATGACTAAGGATGTTGAGCATTTCTTTAAGTATTTCTCGGCCATTTGATATTCCTCTATTGAGATTCTCTGTTTAGCTCTATACCCCATTTTTAAATTGGATTGCTTGATTTGTTGCTGCTTAACTTATTGAGTTCTTCATATATTCTGGATATTAGCCCTCTATCACATATAGGGTTGGTGAAGATCTTTACCAATCTGTAGGCAGTCGTTTTGTTCTGACAACAGTGTCCTTTGCTTTACAGAAGCTTTTCAGTTTCATGAGGTCCCATTTATTGATTGTTGATCTTAGAGCCTGTGCTGTTGGTGTTCTATTCTTGAAGTTGTCTCCTGTGCCAATGAGTTCAAGGCCCTTCCCCACTTTTTCTTCTAACAAGTTTAGTGTGTCTGGTTTTATATTGAGGTCTTTGATCCATTTGGACTTTAGTTTTGTGCAGGGTGATAAGTATGGATCTATTTGCGTCTTTCTACATGTAGACATCCAGTTTGACCAGCACCATTTGTTGAAGATGCTATCTTTTTTCCATTGATGGTTTTGGCATCTTTGTCAAAAATCAGGTGTCCATAAATGTGTGGATTTATTTCTGGATCTTCTATTCAATTCCATTGATCCACCAGTCGGTTTCTATGCCAGTACAATGCAGTTTTTACTAATGTTGCTCTGTAGTACAGTTTGAGATCAGGGATGGAGATACCTCCAGAAGATCTTTTATTGTAGAGGATTGTTTTAGCAAATCTGTGTTATTTGTTATTCCATATGAAGTTGAGAATTTTTCTGTCAAGGTCTGTAAAGAATTATGTTGGTAATTTGATGGGAATTGCATTGAATCTGTAGATTGCTTTTGGTAGGATGGACATTTTTACTATGTTAATCCTGCCAAGCCATGAGCATGGGAGATCTTTCCATCTTCTGATATCTTCTTCTAATTCTTTCTTTAGAGACTAAAAGTTTTTTTCATACAGGTCTTTGACTTGCTTGGTTAGAGTCACACCAAGGTACTTTATGTACTTTGTGGCTATTGTGAAAGGTGTTGTTTCTTTCTCAGCCCTTTTCCCTTTTGTATACAGAAGGGCTACTGATTTTTTTTTTTAGTTGACTTTGTATCCAGCCACTTTGCTGAAGGTGTTTATCAGCTGTAGGAGTTCCCTGGTAGAATTTTGGGGGTCACTTATGTATACTATCATATCATCTGCAAATAGTGATACTTTAACTTCTTCCTTTCCAATTTGTATCCCCCTGATCGCCTTCAGTTGTCTTATTGCCCTAGCAAGGACTTCAAGAACTATGTTGAAGAGATATGGAGAGAGTGGCCAAGCCAGCCTTGCCTTGTCCCTGATTTCAGTTTAAGTTTCTCTCTGTTTAGTTTGATGTTGGCTATAGCCTTGCTGCATATTGCCTTTACTATGGTTAGGTATGTGCCTTGTATTCCTGATCCCTCCAGGACTTTAAACATAAATGAATGTTGGATTTTGTCAAATGGTTTTTCAGCATCTAAGGAGATTATCATGTTGTTTTTTTCTTTCAGTGTGTTTATATGGTGGATCACATTGATGGATTTCCATATACTGAACCACCCCTGCATACCTGGGATGAAGCCTACTTGGTCATAGTGGATGATATCTTTGATGTGTTCTTGTATTTGGTTTGCAAGTTTTTGTTGAGTATTTTTGCATCAATATTCATAAGGGAGATTGGCCTGAAATTCGCTTTCTTTGTTGGTTTTTGTGAGATTTAGGTATCAAGGTGACTGAGGCTTCATAGAATGAGTTTGGTAATGTTCCTTCTGTTTCTATTTTGTGGAATTGTTTGAAGAGTATTGGTGTTAGCTCTTCTTTGAAGGTCTGTTAGAATTCTGTGCTGAAACCATCTGTCCCTGGGCTTTTTTTGGATGGGAGATTTTGATGACCACTTCTATTTCTTTGGGGGATATAGGACTATTTAATTGATTTACCGGTTTTTGATTCAGCTTTGGAAAGTGGAATCAATCAGGAAAATTGTCCATTTTATTTAGATTTTCAAATTTTGTGGCATATAGGCTTTTGAAGTAAGACCTAATGATTGTTTGGATTTCCTCAATGTCTGTAGTTATGATCCCCTTTTCATTTCTGATTTTGTTTATTTGGATGGTGTCTCTCTGCCTTTTAGTTAGCTTGGCTAAGGGTTTCTCTATCTTGTTGATTTTCTCAAAGAACCAATCTTGGTTTCATTGATTCTTTGAATTGTTTTATTTGTTTCTAATTTATTGATTTCAGCCCTGAGTTTGATTATTTCCAGCTGTCTACTCCTCTTTGGTGTGTCTGCTTCTTTTTTTTTTTTTCTTTCTAGGACTTTTAGGTGAGCCAGTAAGTTCCTTGAATGAGATGTTTCGAATTTCTTCTGGAAGGCACTTAGTGCTATGAACTTTCCTCTTAGCACTGCTTTCATTGTGTCCCATACGTTTGGGTATGTTGGGCCTTTATTTTCATTGAATTCTAGGAAGACTTTAACTTTTTCTTCATTTCTTCACTGACCCAGCTGTCACTGAGTAGCCAGTTGTTCAGTTTCCATGTGTGTGTAGGCTTTTTGCTATTTCTGTTGTTGTTGAGGTCCAGCTTTAGTCCATGGTGGTC